GAATATAATTAGTTTGGCAAGGATTAGATGTTATTTTTCCAGGGTGATTCATATAAATATTCTATGTTCTGGTTCTTTGGAAAGTGACTGTGTAGTAGTATTCATTAGAATTTGATTAGCAGTTGAGTTCTTAAAAGGCATTCATTTTCTTTTTTTAAATAAAAATGGAGTTTTATCAGTAAGTAAAACTTTGGTTTATAATTAATTCTCTATCACTGTGCTAAAAGTTGGTATAGAAATCAAAGTGGCAGTGTGCCTAAGATGTTTTTTGTTTTTTTTTTTGTATTTGAGTATAAAGTGTTATGAATGACTGAGTAACTACATGAGGTAAAGTTTTTAAATTGAAAGTTCTCATCCTTGAAAAATGGAAACCTTGACAGTTGTCTACTGGATCTTTTAACTACTGAAGCAGGAGGATCCCAAGTTCGAGGTTAGCCTGCGTAAACTTAGCAAGACTCTTAGCCTTAAAAAGTTTTAAAAACAGGGAGCGGGGATTAAGGATGTAGCTCACTGGTAAAGGGTAGTACCCTGTGCTTAATCCCCAGTGCCACCCCTCATCCAGGAAAAAAAAGCAATTAAATATGTTGGGGATTTTAAGGGTTATTATTATTTTAAGGATTCTTATTTTGCTTTGAGGTTTTAATATGACTTTCGTGTCCAGTTTAGTGCTAGTGCATCTTCAGTTTTTGGTAACTGTATATAGTTTTCTCTGAATACATATTAATGCTTCTGGCTATTATAATAAGATACTTGGAGAATCAGATTTACATTCACTACTTTAGAAGTCTAGGTTTTTCATGTTTGGGTGCATGTTTCTCAATAGGGAATGTGAATTTTGTTGGCATTTAGGGTTAATGTAGTAGGCTGTGCTTTGGTGATTCATTATTTAGTGAGTCAAGAACTTAAACAAAATAGAATCTAGCGGTTTCTGTTTTGATGATATAAATCAAATATCAGCAATTTATTGTATGAAACATTGCACATTTTGAGACAGTTTAGTTTGCATGCTTCATTAATAAAATGAGCAAGAATGTTGAAGCAGTAGTACATAGATAGCCCTTACTACTAGGATTCATTGAAGTACGGTTTATAGATTCTTCAGAGTTGAGATCAGTTGTGTCAATATTTTTAATTTTATAGAGTGAATAAAGATTTAATGTAAAGTGTCTTGGTTTCTCTTTGTCTTCATCTATTGTTAGCATGTATAAGTAAATTTTATGTTTTATCTTGACTCAAATACTGTCCCCATAATATTGTATTACAAACGTTAACTTTTCAGAGGCAGGGAAAAGCCTATACTTCAGATTTTTTTTTTTTTTAATAACCAAACGTAAGTTAATTTGATTTCTGGCAGGGGGATAACCCCAAGACTTACAGAACAGTAAAAAACAAGATTCAGGTGTTTCGATAAGATCCAACTAGAAGTAATGTATAATTGTAGATTATATTTGTCAATGGTTTTCTTTGTGTTTTGGAAATAATTATGCAAAGAGACAAAACTTTTATAATTTGGCAGATATAAATAGACTCAAGTTATGTTGCTATTATAGATAGAGATACATCAGCTTTAGGAGAAAAGTATAGTATTGAAAATGAGGGAATATAGTTTTAGGGGAAAAAAGTAAAAGTTTAGATCACTGGACTAACATGATTGGTGTTTAAGGAAATGTACAAATCTAAAATCAAAAATTAGTGTTTTGGAAAGGAAAACGAAAATAATTAAAGTATTATGGCTTTTAAAACTCCTTTTTTTGGTGGAACTAATAAAAATTCTTAAACTTTTAACACATAATTCTGGAAGTATGTCGCCTAAAGGATTCTTGGTTATTTTTTCCATTTTGTGGAGGAAGATGAGAATTTAAACATCAATAAAAATACTTGTGTTTGAGCCCCAAACTATGATTTAAGTACCTCATCCATAAAGACAGTATTTTTTTGTGAATTTAATCACAGTAAAGGGGAAATCAAATAGTTTACTAGAAATAACTTTGTTTTTCCTTTTCCCCCCTCCTTTTAGGAAAACCAAAAAGAACAAACAGAAAAGTAAGAATATTAACTTTCTTTAAATTAACCTATTTTGTCTTTATAGCATATGTATTTTAAATTCACTATTTTAAAAACTGACATTTTGAAATAAGCTTAATATATCTATTAATGGTCTCAAATATGAATCTCCCTGGTAATGTTATAAATAGAAATGTACACAGTGGTAGAGGCCTAACTGATCTTTTTCTTTTTTTTTTTTTTAACCGTGAAGAAACTAGTAAGGATTTCATTATTTTCATCTGCTTTAGTCTCATGTTTTTAACCAATGGAAGATGGTGATATTATTAAGTATAGCCTGTACTAAATGTTTGGTAGAGATATTCATAAAAGTTGTTTCACGTAGAATTATGATTCTTAGATTCAAATAACCATGTGATGGAGAAATAATGAAGGCATGTTAAGAATTTGTTTTCTATAGAGTTTCTTATTTTATTTGCTTACCTCTCACCTGCAA